AAAAAAAAAAAAAAACCTCCATCATAGTAAAAGCTCCATCAACTGTGGCTACAAACTGAGATGCCTGTCTATAGTGAAGTCACTGGGAAAACTGTTCTTTATGGTGAGGAAGCGGGAACCCACAGGCTGGATCCATGAATCTGAAGGAGCCAGTTGGGAGAGGCCTGAGCTCTGGGTGCCCCTTAAGCCCTGCATAGCTGCCCAGAGAAGCTGAACAATCAGCAAAAGCCAAATATAATTAGAGGGCAGAGTCTGGGACAGAGTGAAGGAAAAACAAACAAACAAACAAACAAACAAAAACAAAACAATCAACCTATGTGAGGGCTTGACATGGACCGGCCAAACTGAGCAGAGTGTGGCTCTGCAGAGGAACACAACCCCCGCCCCCGCTGTAGTTGCGGAGTGATTGCTCTCCTTGCCTTCTGCGGAGTAGATAATTGGCTCTCCTGGCTCCGCCTCATTTCCCTAGCATCGCTGGGGAATGAGGAGTTTTTAAGTGAATTTTAAATAACTAAAGTTGATCACTGTGGTCCCTAACATTTTTTTCCCACTGAGTCACTTTGGGGAGACATTTCTCTGCTATGGTGACATACCTCCCTGTTTCCTTGGTCAGAACTGTTTGACTTAGCCCACCTTTTCCCTGCAGGGTTGGCTGCCAGGGGCCATGTGTCCATCCTCCGATGGCGCACCTCCTTTGTCTCTGTGTTTCCTGGTTATTTCCATGCTTTCCTGCTTGGACACGAAGCAGCTGGGGTGTGTACATGTGTGTGCACATATGTGTAGTGGCTAGAAGAGGGCGTTCTGTCTCTTTTTGCCTCTGTGTGTGTGTGCATGTGTGTGCATGTGTGTGTGCGTGTATAAATGCCACAGTTTGTGTGTGGAAGTCAGAGGACACCTCTCTCTCCTTCCACCATTTAGGTCTGGGGACTGAACCCAGGTCTTCAGTCTTTCTGTCCAGCAACTTTACCTGATGAGCCGTCCCATTTGCTTTGCTCTCCTCCTTAGTTTTGAGACAGTTTCCTACTGAATCTGAAGCTAAGTTGGTTAACCAGTGAGCTCTAGGGGGGTCTGTCTGTCTCTGCCCCACAAAAGTGGGATTGGCTGCATGCTTGGCTATTATGTGGGTGCTGGGGATTTGAACTCAGGTTCTCTTGCTTTCATAGCAAGTTCTCTCAACCACTGAGCCATCTCCTGATGTGGGAAGTCCTCTGCATATGTGTTGCTTTTATTGGTTAATGAATAAAGCTGCTTTCGGCCAATGGACTAACAGAATATAGCCAGGCTAGAAGAGAGATATAGAGAGAGTAGGCAGAGTCAGGGAGAAGCCAAGTAGCCACTGCAGGAGACAGGGAGACAGACACGTCCACCGGAGCTTCATGAAACTTTGCCGGTAGGCCACGACCTCGTGGTGATTCACAGATTAATGGAGATGGGTTAGTTTAGGATATAAGAGCTAGCTAAAAATACACTTAAGCTATTGGCCAAACAGTATTGCAAATAACAGAGTTTCTGTGTGATTATTTAGAGTCAGGGCGGTCGAAAAAATGAACAAACAGCCTCCAGCAACAATCTCCCTAGCCTTGCCTTATGGTTTTAGGGGCTTCATGAACAGAGACACAATTATAGACATGTTCATATACACATTTATTTGTAGTACAAGAAGCCAGGGTTGTGTTCTCCTAACTTCAACAAAGTCCTAAGCCATTCTTATTCTAGCACCGTCATCGTGCTGAATTCTGTGATTCTGCCTCCACCCACTCCCTGACAAACCATCTCTCTCTAGAGAAGGCAGGTTACTGCCAAGCATGTATGAACTTTCCTGGCCAAACATGAGCAAATGTCTGCTTACCTGAGATAGGGCATCAAAGTAACAGATTCAACAAATGGACCAATGGAACAATTTCACCAAAGTCCAACTTCAAAACATGTTCTTACTCCAGAATGTGGATGAGGGGTCACGGACAGGAGTTAGAGGGCCAAAGCAGCCACATCACTGAAAGGTCTCACTCTGTCTTGGATGGATGGCAACTTCCTCATAGCTGCGTAGATGGAGTCCCCCCCTTCAGTTAGCCTCCTGTATACTCCAGCACCCCTCAAGACTCCAAGCATCTGGGCCAGAAGTACACACAGCTGGGAGGAGGTGTAGGAAAGAGAAACTGGAAGCTGCCCCTCCTCTGTGAGGGGACACCATCAGGCCTGGTTTCCATGGTCTCTTGCAAGTGGTCACAGCTACTTGATGAAGATGGTAATGTCGGTTATGCTTGGAGCACAGCCTTCCACAACATGGCCCTCCTAGGTACTTGGGAAACATTCAGCTGACAAGAGAGGAATGGAAGTGACTGAGAGCAGCTACAAGACCCCGTGACAACGTTCTCCCTCCTTACCCAGGCCACAGATTCGTCACCTACTGGCTTTGGGCTATTCCCAAGAAAAGGGAGGCCACGGCCAAGCATGGCAGCTCACGCCCACAGTCCTAGCACTCTGGGGGCCGAGCAAAGAGTGTGAGTTTGAGGCCCACGTGAGCTGCATGGCGGCATCCTCTCTCAAAACAGAAAAGAAGACTATCGTGGAGTTATGGATAAGCACCTGAAAAGCAAAATGTCATGGGACGCCCAGCAAGACGTGAAGGGACACTACTAACTTTAGTCTGACCCAGTTTCACATACAGCGACTATAGCCCCAAAAGTATTGGGGGCGTTGCTTGTCTAGGTCCTGAAGCTGTTCACAGTAGTGACCAGAAAGGAAGCAGCCAATCTCTGTGGTATCGCCCACCTGGGCTTTGCAGCTGCTGTTATCAGTGATACCCCCAAGCTTCCCCTCTTGGAATATCCCCAGCAAGTATCTGTGTGCCTGAGCAATGACCTGGAATCAGGGGGCCTTGGCTGCCCTGTTAGAATCTGAATGATCACGTAACTGCCATGATCCTTTATCTTCCCGTTTATAAAGTAGGGAAGAAAGTGAAGCCTATGAGGATTAAATACTGTTCATGCCTCTAAGACTTCCAGGAAGGGCCAGACACATGGGGAAAGTTAAATATGATTATCATTATGATAATGGAGTCCTAGCACATACACATTGAATGCTAACTACATGTGCTTGGTGATAGAGACAGAGGGGAAGTGGGGAACAGCTCTGGTTAAGCACTTGTCTAAATCCTCAGAACTTATGTAAATGCCTGGTGGGTGTGGAGGCTGCTTGTACTTCCAGCTTCAGAAGATAGAGACAGGGAATCCCAGAACAAGCCGTCACAGGCTCTGGGTTTGGCTGATAGACCGGCCCTCACTGAATAAGGGTTGGGAAAGATTCCTGCCATAACCTTGGGCCTCCTTGGGCATACACATGCATAGCAGGCACACATGCAAACAAGCCCATAGATTTGCAAACATGCATATGTACACATTCAAAAATGGGAAGGAGACACACACACACACACACACAGTGGATAGTTTTATCAGTCTTTACATTCCCTGGGAAGGTTTCCTGGACAGAATGTGGGCTGGGGGACACTCCACTGTTTCCACTGTGAGCCGCTGTCAGCGTGAGCGGAGCTGTCACTCTTGAGTAGACTGGAAGACAGAGGGTGATGCCCATTGATAGTTTGGCAGCCCCAGTCTGTATTTATCAATATTCAGGGCACGGATGAAGGAGTGAGCCAAGATGAGGTGGTGGGATCAGAGACTCAGTGGGCCTATCTACCACAGGATGGCTGCGAGCTTCCGGATACTGACCCAATCAGCCATCGGGAGAGACTTGTGTAAAATGGGTGATGCTGGTGGAACCCCAGCGTACTCACAGGCTATGCCAAACCCTGCCTTCTTGGGCCTGCTCATCACCGGAGTGCCACTTTGTCCCAGATCACAGTGGCATACCCAAAGACACCCTTCCTATGCTGCTCACTTCCCCCTTTCCTCTGAGTATCAAAATCCTAGAAAGTTGGGGTACAAAGATCAGCTGGCCATCTGTGCCCACAGGCAGCAAAGTTGTCCTCTGTCCCTGCTTGCCCAGGACTGAGGTGCTCTTGGAAACAGGGGACTTCTGGTGCAGAAAGTAAGACAGATGATCCTCTGGCAGGCAGACAATTGAGCCATCTCTCACTGCCCACTTGCAACGAGGAACCTTCACCTGACTGTCTTAACTGGAAGCAATCTTTCTTGCCTTCGATATTCTAAAACAGTATTTGTGCTTGTCAGTACCTAACCTCCACTCCCACTAAAAAAAAATCCCATTGTTGGGGGGCATCTTATTTTTGTTGTGTCCTGAATGCACCAAGAGAGAGGGTCAAAGTGGGAGGTGACAACAGTGGGTAGCCTTCCTGGGGTTCTGGGTCCTCTATCCCTTCCATGGCTTAAAATCCAGGTTTCCGGAAAGCCATCAGTCTTGAAAACATTTAATTACAGGGAAAGATCTCCAAGGCTGGCTGTTACTTCCCAGGGATACATTTGTTTTCTCCTGCTCTTTCTGAAGGCGCTGAGGCACTGAGGAAATTGAACTGAAGAAGCAACTAGGGGTTGGAGGGATTCCTGGAAGGGAGGACGAGGGAAAGGAGAGCTGAGAGGTGGAGCCAAGAGTGGGCACAGTGAGTCGAAAGAAACCGTCCTGAGTAAATGAGTGAGAGAAAGATGGTTCAGACAGACGTGCTGCTGGGCCCAGCTGGCACTGAGAGGAACAGGGTCCCAGAGAAGAGAGAGGTGGCAGGAGTACCGAGAAAAGGTCCTGCTGAGAAGGCTAGAGACGGACCAACCAAGGAGAGCTTCCCAGAGTTTGTATTGGGGGCCAGGCAGTGACAGCGATTGAAATTGGGTTGGGGGTCCTTTGATGTTGTGCCGTCTTCAACTCCGGTGAACATTTGGTGGATTGGTGGAGCCTAATGGAGATCCCCAAATGCCAAGGATTCTTTCCAGCCACCCCTTGCAGCCTCTTCTCCAGGGACCATAGAAATGGTAAGGTCGTGTAGACCCTCGTTCTAAGGAAGCCCTGACTCTGCACGTCCTTTCTTGCAGGTTGTGACAGCGAGCACTGGGGTCCCCACTGCAGCAATCGGTGTCAGTGTCAGAACGGCGCCCTGTGCAACCCTATCACCGGTGCCTGCGTGTGCGCCCCTGGCTTCCGAGGCTGGCGCTGTGAAGAACTCTGCGCACCCGGTACCCACGGCAAGGGCTGCCAGCTGCCTTGTCAGTGCCACCACGGCGCCAGCTGCGACCCGCGCACTGGCGAGTGCCTCTGCGCTCCGGGCTACACCGGCGTCTAGTGAGTAGGGAGGGCGTGACCTGGGGTGGGGGAAAGAGGGAATGGGGTGGAGCCAGGAGAGATGGGGCCCGGCTGGGAGAGAAAGGCGTGGCCTGGATGACCCTGGTTTGGAGCAGGACAGTGCTGGGGCCTAGGGGCTGTCACGGGGCTTTTAAGGTTTTGGAGCAACTTATTAGCCTAGTGAGTAGGAAGATGAGAGCAGAAAGTTCTGGTTGTGAAATCTGCCCTCTGACCCCAAGTGCATCAGTGTGTGAGTATCCAGGCCTCGTGTACACAAGTCTCATATCCAAGCCATGCGTCCCACTAGAGTCACCTGTCAGAGGGCCCTTCCTAGTCAGGGGACAGAGAAGTGAGCTTAGCCTTCTCTTTTGACCTCTCCAGTATGCCTCTGCTTGCCACATCCGAATTAATACATCTGAGGCATAGGGCTGGTAAGAGCCCAACTGATGTATCATGTGCTGATTGGTCCCCTCACTTCTGTGCCCTGGGGAAGCTACACTGCTAGGGGCTCCCCAAGACAATTAGCTGACACTCTCACAGCCAAGATTGGTGTTGTTCCAGCCCTGCTAAAGGCTCTAGAGTCTTCCTGGATCCTTAGGCATCAGCCAAGGATACTGACTACAAGACATCTTGGGTTGAGAGCCTTTCCTGTCCCGATGTCTGGGCTCCCAGGGCCTTTGAGCTTGAACCCATGGCCTTTGGAATGAGACCCAAGGCAATGATGCAGACTTTCCCTGTGCTCCCACAGTGCTGCCCCCCAACTCATGGCAACTGGGAGCTTTTCAGAGTCTAGAAAGGAAATGACTCAGAATATCTGACTTCCCCTTTGAAAATAGGCACATTTTCAGAGGCTGGAGATTTGTCTCTGCCGTTAGAAGTGCTAGCTGCTCTCCCTGAGGTCCTGAGTTCAATTCCCAGCAACTATAATGGGATCTGATTCCCTCATCGGGCATACAGGCATACATGCAGAGAGAGCTCTCATACACATAAAATACATAAAGAAATAAATCTTTAAAAAATAAAGAGAGAGGGAGGAGGAAGAAGAGGAGGCAGCAGCTATGGCAGGTTTTTGAAGACAAAATCCAAGGCCACTTTTTAGCCCCTTGGTCTTGCTGTTTCATCCATCTGGCATGTCCTTCCACTCTCTCAGTGAAATTAGCCTCACCTTCAAGGCCTAAATAAGACTGTCTTCTTAGGGAAGATCCCTTCAGCTTCCTGCCCCAGAATTTTCAAGGGTTGGCCCAAGTACCCTACAGTTCAATATATTATGTCTGAGATCTGTCTCCCTCTACTGGCGGGGATCAGTACATCCATTCTTAAGGTGCAGGGTTTCAGGCCTTCAATTTGGCAGGTAGGCTGATTGCTGCCCTCATTCACCACCATGGTGGGGGAGGAGTTAGGTGTCAGGTGGAGGGGTTAACAAGGTTGTCCTTGTAGACAAAGCTTACTAGGGAACCCTGGGGCATTGGGCTCGAGCTCTAGGACGTTCTTGGGAATACTGTTTGTCTATGACTCTCCCTCTCTGTGCAGCTGCGAGGAGCTGTGCCCCCCTGGGAGCCATGGAGCTCACTGTGAACTACGCTGCCCCTGCCAAAATGGGGGCACCTGCCACCACATCACTGGAGAGTGTGCCTGCCCTCCAGGCTGGACGGTAGGTGGACCCTCAAGATGTAGGTAGGCATTATAAGAAAACTTGGCATCTGTCACAAGACCGTGAAAAACTAAATTCATCTCTCTACCCACGTCTATAGTCATGAGCCATTATGGGACACTCGCTAGCAGTGAAGAGCCCCAGGTCTAGGATCTGTGTGACCTAAGGCAAGTTACTTAGCCTCTCTGAGTCAGAGGTCTCTCACAGGCAACAGAGTTGAATTTTCCTCATATAATTGGCTCTGTCTAGGGCTGGACATGTATCTCGGTCGGTAGAATGCTTGCCTAATATGCATGGTCCTGGGTTCAATCCCTCACACCTCATAAAACCAGAGTTGGTAGCACAGACCTTTAATTCCTGCACTTGGAAGGTGGAGACAAGAGGACCAGAATCTCAAGGGCATCTTCAACTACATAACAAGTTCAAGGTCAGCCTGGGCTAGTGAGACCTTGCTGAAAAAAAAATATTTTTAATTAAAAACAAAACAAAACAGCTCTGAATTTGGGTCTGGGTACCCAAATGAGTTTCAGGCGTGGCAGGAGTTAGGCAAGGGAGCCACAGCAGGGTAGGGCTCAGCTGGATTTGTGAAACATTACCCTAGCTCACATATTCATGCTGACTCTGTGGCCCCCGGAATCTGTTATATTCCCGGGTGCTTCAGGTACTTCTGATGCAGCCACTGCCAGCAGAGGCCTCCAGTCTGGGAACCCCCACTGCGGGAAGCAGATGGAGATATAGTCTCAACCCATGGAGGCCTTCCCTCAGGTGACATGTCCGAAGCTACCCAGACAAACCTCCCAGTCTCTAGTCTCAGCTTCCCCATGGACACAAATGATTTGCCTTCAGTGAACCTTGCTTGGGTTGCCTGGCATGGTAGGCACAATCCTTGGGTATGACTGCATATCCACGGTGCTTGGCAAATGTCAAAGCCTTTTGTACCAGCTTGCTTTATACCCCTGGATATCACAGGCTAGCCACAGCCTCCTATCAGCTGCCAGGCTCCCCTGGTCAGCACCTCCCAGGCTCATGGCTCCCAAGCCCCGGAAAGGCTGTCAGCCTCAGAGGCTGCCCTTCCACACTGTATCCCCCGTAACATGTCCCACTTCAGGAGAGGCTCAGTTGCCTCCCCAGGGAGAGGGACAGGCCTGCTGAGTACAGCCAGGTATTTTAGGAGGCTTTCAACACCAAGCACCCAAGGGCAGCCAGGAAGGACATCTGTAGGCTCAAGGATGCTTCTCGACAGGGGGGGACCTTAGGAATCTAGTGGCCAAATATGGCTATGTAGTGGAGTCAGTGAGGGGCAGGGGTCACACTTGAGCCTCTGGGAATGACTTCTTTAATGAGCTCCCCAGGTGACTCTGAGGCAGGCAGCATGCAGACACAGCTGCCTTTGGATGTCATTGCTCAAGAGCAAAGGGCTTCCCTCTGTCTTTCACAGAATCCTGTAGCTCCTTGCGGTGGGTGGGGGAGAAATTCTTACCATTGGGATTCAGGCTCCCACCACTCCGTCTGAGTCTACTTAGTATGGATGTTCTAGGAAACAAGTCACAAAAACAACACCACTCACAGCTTGAGGAGTCTTTCAACAGCATGGTCTGACCATAAATGGCCTTGCTTGGGGAAGAGAAAGAGCAGGGAAGGCTAGTGATGTGCCTTAAGACACATGTCGGTTAGGAGTGAGGTGGAGTTAGAACCTGGGTCTCAACTCCAGAACCACCCCACCCATGCACGCTCTCTCCCTCTCCCCTCTCTCTGCCTCTCCATCTCTTTTTCTCCTTCCTCTTTATCTCTCTCCCCTCTCTGTCTTTCTGTGTGTCTCTCTTTCCTCTTTCTTTCCTTTCTCCTTTTCTCCCTTTGTCCTTCTCTCCTCTCCCGGCTCTTCTGAAAGGACACAGAGGATGAGATCTCCTCTCTCACCTGTCCCCTTCTCCCACCCTAGCCTGCTTTTTGAAAGGCCTCTATCACTACCAGACAGCTTCCAGGTATCCAGTGCCAGGCAGGGCTCAGGGAAGCCCATCAACCAGGGAGGGAGCCCGACCCTGGAGAGGCCTCCCCTGAGATGCTGCTGTGGGCTGCAGGACTTTGGGGATAGAAGGAGAAAGCCAACACATATTGGCGGCTCTTTTCCTAACACACCTTTTCGGGGTGCCGAGAAACCCTGTCTATAGAAAGCTTTGGTGCTGAGGACTTTGTTTTAAATTTTATGATAGACAATCACATTTCTATTTCTGACATAGCATTGAACTTGCAAATTTGCATGAATTATTAATATCCTGGTGCATGCAGAGTCACAAAAATGAAGCTTTGACTCAGGTCTGAGGCTCCTCCAAGGAGAGAGCTGGAGCTAAGTAAAGGCTGCTGGGGGAAGGGTCACCTGTCTTTATCTTTCATTGCCTGACTTGCCCTTGGCCCCCATGGAGTTTCAGCCATCCCTTTTCCCACTCTGAGACTGATGGAGTGGTTGCTCACTGCCACCATCTGCAGAGACACTGAGTACAGAGGAGCTTCTGGGATCTCTGGCCCACTGGCCCTCCAGGCCATCAACCCCCAAGAATGCCACAGGCCCCTTCACCTGCCTGGCTATAATGAATCCAGTGCAGAGAGGCCCATACAAAGAACCTGGGAGCTATTTCCCCGCTTTTGCTGACTCTGAGACCTTGCAGAGGAAAGAGGGTAACTACAGGTAGCTTGATGACTGTGGACACTGGGGACAGGCAGAAAGCAGGAAGGGCAGCAATCGGTTCCTTGGGAATTCCCAGTCTGACGTAGAGGCTGAACGGAATGGGTACATTCACATATGCTCATATACACACAGACACTCACGTGCAAAGGAAATGATGGGCAGGAGGAGGAATGGAGCCAGAAGCTAGGAAACGGGGCCAGTGAGGGTGGGAGCCCAGAGAGGGCTGTGGTGGCTCAGGCTTTGGTGTCTCAGACACGAGGGGTTGGAAAGATGACTATAGAGGCCAGTGGCTGGTCCTGAGCTAGGGATCACCTCCATAGCACCTTCACCAGCCACGGCTCAGTGTCTCCACAGGTTGGTGCCACTCTGGGGGCAGCAGCCACTGATGTGAATGCCCAAAATGCTGGCAAGACTGAGGCGCCATCTTGGCCCCTTCCTTTTAATCTTCTGGTGCACACAGATCTCTTACAGTGGAGCTGCTCTCCAGAGTCTCACAGAAACATTAGGCCTGACCAGCTGAAGAGCAGGCCTTGCCCCATTTCACACCGACCTTCTAAATGTAGCCCAGGAGCCCACCACAGTGGAAACACACCCGGCCTTCGGCCTTCGCAGGATGCCAGACAAATGGCTCAGGCAATAGGGATTTGTTTTCTCTTGGGTTTGGAGGCTGAGAAAAAGTGTCTGAGTGTCTGAGGTCAAGGTGACTCCATCAGGCAGGGCTGTTGATTTCTGAGCCCCTCTCCGCAGCCTGGAGATAGCCATCTTCTTCCTTGGTCTTTGCACGGCCTTTCTTCTGACCTTCTTGTAGAACCCAGGACCACCAGCAGAAGAATGGTACCACCCATAATGTGCTGAACCCTCCCATGTCAATTGTCACTTAGGGAAATGGGCCTGTAGCGATGACTCAGCGGTTAAGAGCATTGGCTGTTCTTCCAGATCCTGAGTTCAATTCCCAGCTCCCACATGGCAGCTCCAGCTGTCTATGATGGCATCTGATGCCCTCTTCTGGTGTGCAAATATACGTGTGAACAAAGCACCTATATACATAAAATACATATGTACGCCCATGCCTAAATACATAAAATACATGCGTACGCACGTACACATACACATTTTTTAAAAAGAAAGAAAAAATGCACTACAGGCTTGCCAATCTTACGGAGGCATTTTCTCAATTGAGAGTCCCTTTCCTAAATGATTCTAGTTTCTGTCAAGTTGACATAAAACTAGCCAGCACACATCATCATGTCTGTCTTTTTTCCATGGCTTCTGGGATCAAAGCTAAATCCTCATGTTTGCATAGCGAGCATGTTACTGATTGAGCTAACCGTCCAACCTGCTACATCTGTCTTCATCCCCGAGTTAGGTCGGATGAGGGCCCACCTACACAAGTTTTTAACTTCACCTCTGCAAAGGCCGCGTGTCCGCATACAGTCATATCCTGGCACACTGGAAGTGAGGATTGCAGCCAGTCTCCAGGAGATAAAGTCACAGCAGGAGAGGAACCCCCGTGCTTGCCAGCTTCCTCCAGAGGTCATTCTTCCAACCAGCAGTAGTTGATCATTTATGTAGTCATGCACCACCCCGTCAATGTCAACTTTGTTCAGCTGACATTCATTAAGTGTCGCTCAATCAGGCACGGTATCAGCGGGCTTCCTTTGTACCCCTAATCTCACCGCTTATCTTTACAACTTCCTAGAGACCAGGGGTCACCTGTCTCTGTCTCTGTCTCTGTCTCTCTCTCTCTCTCTCTCTCTGTGTGTGTGTGTGTGTGTGTGTGTGTGTGTGTGTGTGTGTGTGGTGTACATGAACGAGGGCTCCACCCATTCAAGGGTGAGGAGACTGGTAGGCATAAGCATTTCCTGCCTGAGTTAGCTTGAAATGTTTTTCACACATCCCCAGACAGTAAGGACAGAATTGCACAGAAGCCAGAGAATTCTCTTGTCACCCATGAATCCCTAAGCTCATGGGGAGAAAGACAGGCAGGCGCCTGTCACCCCCAGACTCCTCTCACCCCACTTTTGCACACTCACCTCACAGTCCTCGCTTCTCTAGGCTCTGCCGTGCCTGCAGCAGGGGAATCTGAGCTGAAAGCCTCCCACTTAATTCATTACAACTCAATAACACGACGCGGAAAGATGGCTCCGGTCTGGCAGGCTTTTCCTGACTGAACTAGCTTCTTGGGGGCTGGTGATTATTGGTGCTTAATAACTGTGTGTTGAACAAATTGATTAATTAATTGGAAGATCATCTTCATTCTCCATGAGAGGAATGATTATCTCTGGCATGAGGGTGAAACGGTGGCAGGAGACGAGACTAGGCTCAGACGTCTGATGAAGACTTGAAGTTTATACAAACTGTTTTACAGACGTACACCACAAGACTAAGACTGGAGGGTGGGGCAGAGAGAAAACAGTCCTCAGTGCATAATGCTTGCAGTCCGAGTCCAGTCCTAATCCAGGTCTGTTTGGGTGTCTCCTTCTGTTTCCTACCTAACATGCCTTACTGCTACTTCTTAACTAATGACTTCAGCCCACAGACAGGATTCAGGGTGGTGAGATGGCTCAGTGGCATAGGCTGTTGTCCTCAAGCCTGACAACCCGAGTTCAACCCCTGGAACCCACACGCAAGAAAGAGACTGACTCAAGCAAGTTGTCCTATGACCCCAACATGCATGCCATAGCATACCCGCACGTACATGTATAAACAAGTAAACTTAAATTTTAATTTATTTAATTCTGGCCTCCCACTGTTTGAGTTGGCATGGAAGTCAGACACATGGGAGACAAGCCGCCACCTAGTAGGGAGGCAGGCCAGAGAAAGAGGGGAGATCCCAGAGTACAGGCCAGCTCCCTAAAGAAAGACGAAGAGAGGACAGCGAAGTTCATGATGCTTAGGTTAGCATGTTTGTGTGTGTCTATGTTAGCATGGCTGTGTGTGGCTACTAATTTATCCAACAGCTCAGCCAGAGTCTGAAATTCCTCTCATTAAGGTCAGATACCTCAGAAGTCCCTCCCTCCCTCCCTGTTTCCCTCCCTGCCTCCCTCCCTGGTTGTTTTTGCCTTTATGTTTTGAGGTGGCACCCAGAACACCTTGTGCTTCTGTTGTGAGCTCTTTGCATGGCATACTCACTACTCTCCTGGGTTCCTTTTGTTTCTCTTTTGATAGGTCCCTAGTTCTCAGAATCTATTTTTTCAAAAAATTTTCTTCCTTCTTTTTCTACGTTTCTTCTCTTTCCTCTTTCTTTCTTTCTTTCTTTCTTTTCTTTTCTTTCTTGGTTTAACAGGATCTGATATATCAGTCACACTTTCAAACTAGATTCGTGGTTGAGGATGACAGAGGATGACCTTGAACTTCTAATCTTCCTGCCTCCACCTACAGGTGTGCACCCACACTGGGTCTATATGATGCTGAGAACTGATGTTTCTCACATGCTGGGCAAGCACTCTACTAACTGACCTGTATCTCCAGCCCTGGAAAGTTTTTCTGATGAGGGGTGGGGCTCTCCCAGTTAGTTACCTAAAGTACCATGGATGTTACTGCTTTTTTGTTTAAATCTAAAACTGTCTTATCAAAACCCCTGCTCGAGTATTTGTTTTGAGAGGGATAATATTCTTGAAGTGCTAAAGATCCTGGCTTTTCCTATGAGGCACAGCCCTCCTGCTTCTTGGCAATCAGTTCTAGATTGAAAATTATTTTCTCTCCAAAATGTTAAGGAATTACTCCATTGTCATCTAATTTCTAGATAACTAATCGAATAACTTGATTCCTGGTTTTGTATATGACTTTTCTTCTTCTTAAAAACTTTGATTAAGGGGCTGGAGAGATGGCTCAGTGGTTAAGAGCATTGCCTGCTCTTCCAAAGGTCCTGAGTTCAATTCCCAGCAACCACATGGTGGCTCACAACCATCTGTAATGAGATCTGGTCCTCTCTTCTGGCCTTCACACAGAAAGAATATTGCATACATAATAAATAAATAAATATTAAAAAAAAAACTTTGATTAAGTTTACATTTAGAAATAAAATCCATTGTGCTGGAGAGATGGCTCATTGGTTAAGAGCACTGGATGCTCTTCCAGATGACCTGGGTTCAATTCCCAGCAACCACATGACAGCTCACAACTGCCTGTAACTCCAGTTCCAGGATATCCAATGCCCTCATACAGATGTGCATGGAGGTGAAACATAAATGTGAATAAAACAGAAAATAAAACAATTTTTAAAAGAAGAAACTTAAAACGTTGGTGTCTGGAGAGATGGTTCAGTGGTTAAGAGCACTTGCTGCTCTTCCAGAGGACCCAAGTTCGGCTCTCTGAACCCATGTCAGAGAGTTCACAGCCACCTGTAACTCCAGCTCCAGGGGATCCAAAGTCGTCTTCTGCACTCCTTGGACATCCACATGCCCAAGGCATACATATACATTCATACACAGCAATAAAAATTGTTTTTTAAAAATATTTTTAAATAAAATTTGCAATGCTATACCCTGATGGGAGTCATATAGCCTTTCATTTCTCCTCCTTCCAGTCCTTCACTCCTCCTGTCTCCTCCCCCTTCTTCACACCCCAGCTCCCCTCCCTCCCCACCTCTATTTGGGTCCTCTTCTCTCATAATAGCTGGCTTTAGCAAAGTCACAGACATGAGTAGGTCTCCGCAGCTGGATGTTTAATCAGGAGCGGGGGCTCTCCTGTATCTTCTCTCTCTGTCTCTGTCTCTGTCTCTCTCTGTCTCTCTGTCTCTCTCTCTCTCTCTCTCTCTCTCTCTCTGCTAGTACATATGAGAGGACTAGCATTATGTACTCTACTTTGCTTCCTTGCTGGTCTCCCCAGGACCCTGTGAGGACAGGTATTAATTACACGTGCTTTCTGCGTCCCAGGTATCTGACCCAGCACCTGATATACAACAGGTTTCACTAACTACACTGAATAATTGGGAGAAAACTGACCTCAGTGGTCCTAACTGTAGCATAAATGCCAGTTCTCCTGATTACGCTGGGAAGCTGGGGTGGCCTTGGAGGCTATAACCTCAGCATGATATCTCTGGAGCTCTATCAAGCCTGTCCTCAATTCTATTGCAGGGAGCAGTGTGTGCCCAGCCCTGCCCACCAGGGACATTTGGCCAGAACTGTAGTCAGGATTGTCCTTGCCACCATGGAGGCCAGTGTGATCATGTGACTGGACAATGCCACTGTACAGCTGGATACATGGGGGACAGGTAAGGATGGCATTAACTCTTGCCTTTGATGTTCAGCTGTTCCTACCCTCAGCAACCTTGCAGAGAATACCAGCCACGGCACCTTTGGCCAGCCTGAGGGTTCTTTCCTCAGAAGACATTCTGAGTCCTACCAGGGAAATCCATCAGCTCACCCTTTCTCACCCTGTGTGTGCCACCCCTCCCCGAGTCCGACAGCCTTAAACTTGCACTGGGGAGGGAGACGAGTGAGCCCCCTGCTCCATTTCCCCTGTCTACACTAACAGAAGGAAGCAGTGCTACAGAGACGCCAAAAGGGCTAAGAGAACAAAAAGCTGTGCCTACATTTTGAAGTTATTATAGAAGTAGATTTTTATTCCAAAATTGAGTTATCTCTGAAAGATAATGACATCAGTTTGTGCTGTATGAATGCCTGAGAACAGGCAGAGCAGGGGTCCAGAGAGACAGTGATAGCCTGGAATGATGCCAGCCTGGTGGAGGGGACAGGCAACAGAACACATAACCGAGGAATTGCCTTCTGGGTACAACTGCGCCAGCTGGAAGAAAGCGATGGGGCCGGGGCCGCGAAGAGGGAAAGGCAAGAGCTGTGTAGCAAGTGGAGGTGGAGGACCACATGGAACCACAGACCCCTGGCCAGGTCCCCTTCCTCCGCCAGCCAGCCAGCCAGCCAGCCAGCCAGCCAGCCAGCCAGCCAGCCACCCAGCCAGCCAGCCAGCCACCCAGCCAGCCAGCAAGTCCCTGCCTTTCGCCTGGCTCTGTGTGGGTGGATCCAAGTCTCATCTCTGGTCCCTGAATGTGGTTACTCTTTCTAGACAAAGTGAGAGCGGATCATGTAGAAAACACATTCTTCGGGTAAGTGTTGGAGAACCAGCACTGATGATCACACAGGCCTGTCTCCTTCAACTGAAGGAAATGAATTTTTTTTTTCTTTTTCCACAAAGGATTTTTATTTGGGTTTGTCAGAACTACTGTGCTTACTAGGTCTGTGATCCAGTCCCTGTTATCACAGGTCATAGGCCAGACCAAGAAGGGATACCAGGGCACCAGGGGTCACTGCTCTGCCTCTGCTGCTGAGGCTCCTCTTCCAGAGGGTCTGCAGGACTAGGCTCTTTCTCTGGAAAAAGATCTAGGAAGGTGAAGGTCTGCCCATGGGCCAGCTGCACGTAGGCCACTTTGTAGTCCGGCTTCTTGATTCTTACGTTCTTGTGGTCCCTCCTCCTGTTGGAGCCATGCTGTACCCGCCTGCGCACAGCAGCCACAGGAACATTGTAAATTTGCTCAAGGTAATTCCGGAGGTCCACCCTGGTCATCTCCATGGGGATCCAGAACTGCACAGTATCTTCAGGCTGGGCAGTACCAGGCCGCACCAGCTGGATAAAGAAGTTGGTTCGGAATAAATACATGGAGCTGGAGGCCACCCAGCTGGCAGAGGGGGTACAACACATTCCGCGCCATGGCAGCCTCACCTCCCGGTGAAGGAAATGAATTTGCCTGACCACCTGGAAAGCTGGCGTGACATGGTCAAACAACCTGGTGACCCTTTGCTCTTCTATGAGGAGCCAGCCCCCACCTGGATCTCCCAATATCCTGAGCTTTGTCTCTCAGTGAAAAGAAGACATCCCTTTGAAAGAGGCCCCGTGTGCTTTGTGCCCTCCACCAAGAGCACCCATCCTTGTACTGATCACAGGTCCTTCTTTAGGCCCCAGCTATCACTGTGTTTATCAGCCAATAGAATTCATTCTTATTGTAAAGATCACAGGTGCTTTGCTGCTTTGCAAATGATGTAGCGAGTCCTGAAGCTTTGTTATGAGAATTGTCATGTGGAGAGTCCTCCTACCCCCAAAGTTCTACTACGTTTAAATGTGTAAGAAAAGTAAGTCTAACGGTGACTTCAGTCTCTGAAAGGCTATGACCCAGGGCTTACAAATACAGTACTGGAATTTGTTTCCTGGTCTTTGTCTGGGTGACATAAGCAGGGATCCTGGCTAAGTCACCCAGTGAGTCCTTTCTGGTGTGTGTGTGTGTGTGTGTGTGTGTGTGTGTGTGTGTGTAATATCTCTCATAGCCCAGGCTGGCCTCAGTTTCACAGTATAGCCAAGTATTATCTGAATTTCTAAACCTCCTGCCTCTGTCTCCTGAGTGCTGAGGTACAGATGTGTGTCACCATGCCCATTAGTGTGGTGCTAGGGATCAAAGCCACAGCTTCCCGCATAGTAGGTAGGCACTCAACCAACGGACTTCCATATAGCTCCAGAACCTTTTAGATCTGACTAACAAAATCGGCATCCCCCCTGCTCTCCCTGGAGCTTTCCAAGTCTTTAGAGATATCTAGAAAGAGCCTATCTGCTAGCACTGGACTTATTTGCTTACACCCTAACATCATTAAGCATTGTGCCAGCATTTGTCTCCACAGAGCACAGGTTGTAGCTCTGGGGATCAAAGGGCTAGGCCTACCTTTCTGTCACATCTTCAGCCCCAAAGTAAGGAAATGCTGGGAACAGAAAGGACCCTTTTGTTCCAGCCTCGTTCATGCTCTGGAAACTGGTGTCAGGTTTCTAGCAAGCTATCAGGCACCAGTAGAACCATCTCATTTTCTCTCAGGGTTCACCAAGGGCAGACATAATCCCAAGTGTCTCTTCTTGGAGTCTCACCCCAGATCCCAGAGCAGAGAAAACAATTTCAAAACCGCGGGCCTTCCAGCTTGCTTCCCAACCCGCCTCAGGAGAGTTCATACAGAACGCCATGAGCATTTGGCTTTCCCGCCTCAACAGGATGCCTGGTGTTTAATATTTTGTAAAATTGCCTCCATTAATTTTGTAGGTGACAGCTGCATTAGCCCACCCCAAATTATCATGAGCATATTAAAACCAAGTGGGTATAATAATGCGGGTCTCCCCAGATAGGCAGGATCCAGCTCAAATTAAACACGAAACGTAACTTGTAATTTAATTGAGCAATGTATCTGGTTGTTAATGGCAATATTGGACACATTAGATTGATACAGTGGGAAGGAATGGTGTTTAAGTAGAGAGCTAATCCCTGCTGTGATTACCCTCCTGTTCCATGGGCCGGTTATTGGTGTGCTTTGTGTAAAATTCATTAGCAGTCTTTGCTTGATCTCTAAATAAATAAGTTGTTTAAATTGTGGATGGGAAGAAAAGTAAAAAGAGGTGGATGATGGAAATAGATTAGCTTGTCAATATTTCATTCCTAGATCTTTTGTTTTGGGCATATAGATGTAGTGCCCTCTCCCCTGGAATACAGCCAGGTAGGACACTCTCTTCAGACACATGGACAGAAATATTCTGATGCAAGGGATCAGGTGTCTCAGAGATTCCTGAGGCCTGCAGAGCTCAGGGGTCTGTGTGGAGAAATTTGGAGGCTGAGTGGAGGTTGGCAGTTTAGATAGTGGGGTCTTTAGCTGTTCTTGCTCCTTGCCCTCCCCTCCCTTCTCAGCTCCTCCTTTCTTTCTCCTGCCTGCCCCCTTCCCTTCCTCTCCCTTTGTTCCTGCCCCAGCAGGCTGGGGCGGCTCAGGGCAGCCTGCATCTTTCTCACTGCCTCTCTTCAGCCAGGTTCCTCTGCTCACACCATGGCTCTGAGAGGGGACAGCAGTAGTCTCTCCCTTGAGGGAAACTGTAAACTCTTTCTCAATCACTCTCCTGCTCCTTTGTCACTCTGGGCACAGAACAGCAAAGATAGAAAAAAGGGCACCTGGTCTCTAGCTGCCTAGGCTAGCCCCCCCGTATTCTGGCTGCTCTCAATCCCTCTTTACACCATGCTGTCTGCCCAAGTCTACTACAGTGTAGCCATTTGTCCTCATTTTACGCCATGCTTCCCTTATATGTCAGAATTCTTGTATTTGAGCCTTTTCATGCCTGAATCTAAGGCAAGAAGGTCAAATCTGCTGTGGTTTTTTGTTTTGTTTTGGGTTTTGGTTTTTTGTTTTTGTTTTTTGAGTCAGGGTTTCTATGTGTATCTTTAGTGCCTGTCCTGAAACTCCAGGCTGGCCTCGAACTCACAGAGATCCGCCTGTCTCTGCCTCCCGAGTGCTGGGATTAAAGGCGTGCGCCACCACTGCCTGGCTAAAGATCTGCTGTGTTTTAAGGGCTGTAAAAACTTTTAATAAGAACTGGAGAGATGGATCAGCAGTTAAGAAATCTTTTTAAAAGTAACAACAGATAATGGTCTCCTGGCTGCCTTTCTGGATAATTCTACATGTTGTTGTTGTTGTTGAGACAGGGTAGCTTTGTAGTCTGTCCTAGAACTTGCTCTGTAGACCAGGCTGGCCTCGAACTTACAGAGATTCTCCTGCCTCTGCCTCCTGAGTGCTGGGATTACAGGCATGTGCCACCACCACCTGGCAGTTATACACATTTTTGTTTGTTTTTGTTTTTTTCAAGACAAGGTTTCTCTGTAGCTTTGGTGCCTGTCCTGGAACTAGCTCTTGTAGACCAGGCTGGCTCTGAACTCATAGTGATCCACCTACCTCTGCCTCCCAAGTGCTGGGATTAAAGGCGGGCACCACTGCCACTCGGCCTAGTTGTACGCACTTTAAAGAATGAATTGTGTATATGGGAGTGGATTGTGTGAGTGTGGTGCCAGGGGAGACTAAAGGAGGGCGTCAGGTTCCCTGGACCTGGAGTTACAGGTGGTTGTAAGCTGCCCAATGCAGGTGCTGGGAACAGAACTCAAGTCCTGCAAGTCAAACTAGAGTTCTTGACTGCTAAGCCATCTCTCTAGCCCCTAGTATTATCTATTTAATCTTCAATCAACCCGATGAGGCTTACCAATTCATTTTATGATAAGAAAGTGTTCTGTCTGAAGTTTAGGTCAGTTCTTCATTATTTGTATCAGAGTTAAGAAATAGATAATCCCCAACCCCAGAAGCTATTTCCCTCTCATGCACAGGCTGCCTGCAGGGTAACCCCTTATTTTCACAAGGTCCAGTTGCTGTGACAATCAGCTTGTGTCACCTGGGAAATAAACCCTGGACTGCAGTAAGGATAGCAAGAATTGTTAAAGCTGTTAAAGCACATTCAAGAAGCCAGGAAGCCAGCAGGGCCACACAAGAGACCAACATCTCCTGGCCTGAAGGCTAGAGCATTCCCAGTTGCAGGACCTCCAAGCACCTACCTACATGAGCTCACATAGTACCAAAGGCACCCCTCCTCCACCTTGGGGGCTCACTGGCTGATAAGAGAGAGAGCTAGCCCCTGCCTTGCGTCCTCAGATCCCAGGAAGAGCAAATAGCCTGTCTTTGGGAGTATGTAACTTGATGAAGGAGGAAGACACTTGTACCTAAGGGAAATTCCACCCTGGCCGGAGGAACCACACAGAACGGGGAGAGAGGCTTCTTCTTGAGACTCGGGAGAACACATACTAGTAATCCCAGCACTCGGGAGTTTGAGACAGGAGGATTGCTGTGAATTCAAAGCCAGACTTCAACCTCCCAAGTGTTCGGGTGGAAGCTTCACCCCAACCCCTGGCATCCATATATGAGTCTGGAATGTTTAGGTGGGAGCTTCAGCCCAGCCCTTGGCATCCATATATCCAAAGAATCTGGGATGCTCAGGTAGAAGCTCCATCCCAAGCCGCCTTTCCCATCTCTCTCTCCAAACCCTGCTGCATCTCAGAAAGCCCATCAAATGATGACCCCTCTCCCAGAGATGCTCAAGACCACTCCCACAGGGAATTTAAGCTGCCCCCCCCCAGAAAACAGACACGTGGTTTTCCTTTCCTGTCTCCTCTCTGGGGGGCTGGAAAGCCACCTGGGAACATGGTATCTATTAAACCTGGGTTTTTTTCTAATTCAGTTTGATGTGGTCTGATTTGGATTATCGCATCTGCGGAGAGGCTTATCAGGGTGCAGAAACTTTTCATCAAGGCATGCACCACCACCCCCAGCCTCATCACAGTGTTTCCAATGAAAAAGAAACAAAGTTTTGCATCATGACACTGATAATGCGCTCATCCTGGCTGCTAAGGAGACCAGAGTGAAGTTTCCATGGAAACGGGGGAGGGGGGACTGGAAGGGAAGGAATACACCAGGCATTCCAAGTGAGGAGGGGTCTGTGCAAATGCATCGAGAAGGCCAGCAAGGGCTTTGGCCCACAGCTTCATCCTGCTCTGCTCTCCCACAGGTGCCAAGAGGAATGTCCCTTTGGAACTTTTGGTTTCCGGTGCTCTCAGCGCTGTGACTGCCACAACGGAGGTCAATGTTCACCGACCACAGGTGCCTGTGAGTGTGAGCCTGGCTACAAGGGCCCTAGCTGCCAGGAGCGGCTATGCCCCGAGGGCTTGCACGGCCCAGGCTGCACCTTACCCTGTCCCTGTGACACTGAGAACACTATCAGGTATGATCTGTGGACAGGTAAGCCTGGGGCAGGGGTTGAATGGGCCCCAGGATGGAGAAAGGCTTCCTGGGCTGTGGCCCCACCTCCAGAGTGGCCAGTCAGCCGCTAGAGTCAGGACAAACCTTAGGTCACCTGCCTCCTGTTCTCCACGGTGAGCTGCCTGGGCTTTACAAAGAGTCAGTCTCAAGCCTCACATAGGAATAACTGACAGAAACGGGGGACTAGAATTGGATGGTTCTGGGGGCCTAGGTGGGTTGGGGTGATAGGGGTCATGGCACAGTGTCTGGTGAGCTATCTTGGAGAGTCCTCTTCTTCACCCTGAGCCTCTAACCGTAGAAAGTCCCTCCCGGGACCCAGAGAAGCCCCGGCCAGGAGGGAGAACAGGAAGGACAGGTTGGCCTCTATGCCCAGAATGGCTTGGAAGTCTATAGACAGTAGCTAGTCTCTCCTACTTTCTGAGAGGACTGAGCCTAGGAAGCAGAAGAGCAAATGGTCCCAGCCTCCTGGCCCACCCCTTCCTGTTTGCTGCTCCTGCTGCCCAGCCTTCTGGTAGTAAGTGGGTCTGTCAGCCCCTGAGATGCCTCTCACTACCCTCTGTCCAACTGCCTGCTATCGGGACAGTAAGGGGCAGACAGGCTGGCCTAGACAGTGGGTGCTCTGCAGATGGCCAGGCAGAGAAGGCCTCTGCTCTGAGGCCCCTCTTCACCTCCAGTGTCTGGTTTCTCACATGTCACCCTGGAACTTCCCGTCACAGCAAGCAGGGCATCTTGGCACGTATCAGTTTAGATGAATGTGATTCCTTGGTGGCCCCTCAGAGAACTATACCGAGAGAGCCTGGAGCCAAGCCAGCAAGTCTGTGTATGACTTGAACGTTTCTGTGCCTTGATATTCATTCAACAAACATGGAGTACCCCCACAGGGCAGGCTAGGCTACAAAAGGGAAGCCCGGGTGCTCCCAGAACCTTAGATTCTGAGTATGCACTGATATCAGACACTTTCTAGAATATTCTTCCAATACCAGGTACATCCAGGAGTGTCTCATAGCCCTGTTTTGTGTCCTAATGGACCTAATTTATTCAGCCAAACCATGGCATACCATTAAGTGTATGTTGCACCCAACATCAGAGGTTGACAAATATTAGGTAGAAATGCATGCCCCTGACTCTGCTGGGTCCAACAGGTATCCAAGTCACTGTGACCTTGGATATGTGCATAAAAGATCACAAGAAGCCACCATGCTGGTCAGGAAAGGCATCCTGGAAGAGGTGGCCTTTGGCCCGGACTGAAGGCCAGGGTGAGAAGGCTAAGAGTCCTAAGTGTGGAGATGAGAACACAGCTCGTAGGTGGAAGACAGCACAGGCACACCCCATCCCTGCTGGGAAACCGAGAAGGCTAATGAGGTTTCCATTCAGGAAGAGTCCCCACCACAGAGATCCACTCAAGCCCCAAATTAAAAAGCTATTGTTTTCCTCCCACGCCTGGGCGACCGTGCCCTGCATAGTTAATCTTCCTTCTGAAGGAGTCCTCTATGTATTATTAATCTGGAAGGACTCCCTCTTCTCTGTTGCTAATCTCAGCCCATCCAATATTAATGATTGTTTGCTTTACTGTCTTTAACGTGTGTCATGTCTCAAGGAACTGGGAGGCAAGAGCCCTCCTTAGGCATGGGTCCTTGGGAGGGGCCTGCAGGCTCAGCTCCAGGCAGGCTGCTTCAACTTCAAAGCACTACCTCCGTGGGGAGAGCCTGGACCCCCAAGGACACCAGCACCCTGCCTTGTCCACCTTTGTCACCACGGCCTCAGTCTTCAGTGACAGGAATCACTGAATTCATTTTACACAGTGCATCCTTCTAGGTAGCTCTGCCCACTTGGTTCTTAAATATTCACCTTTCCCCAAGTTCTGACTCCCAAAGATGCTTCCAGTCAGTGACAAATGTCCAGGTCGGATAGGGGAAGCAAGACGTTTGAGATGAGAACCTCTGGTTTGACTGAATCCTTGCTGCTCCTGGTTTTGTCCTAATGCACCCAAGGACAGGTCTCTCTCTTTGTGTGGACACAGCTCAGCCTTCTTCCTCCCATAAAGCTTTGGTTCACTATAGATAGAGCCTTCTCTTGGGATATAAAGAAAGCAAAGACCTGCAACTAGGGGTGTGCCTCAGTTGTTAGAGCCTTTGCCTGGCATGCATCCATCTCCAGTACAATATAAACTGGGCATGGTGGCACACACCTGTATTCCAGCACGTAGGAGACAAAGGCAAGAGGATCAGAGGTTCAAGGTCATCCTTGGCTACTTAGAGGCCGGAATGGGCCCTATGAGATCTTATTTAAAAAAAAAAAATAGGAAGGGTGGAAGGAAGCAAGGAAGGGAAGGAGGAAGGAAGGGAGAGAGAGAAGGGGAAAAAAGGAGGGAGGGAAGGAGGGGGGACAGATGGAAAGGACCTACAATTCCAATCTTAAGGCAGTTAAGTTGCAGGTAGTGGGTGGGGGTTGGTCCCCTCGGTCCTAGCTTTAGATCTACTGTTAATCCCAAAGATGAGAGGAGAAAGGCCACCAACCCAAATCATCATGGGGAAATTAATTAAAGCAAGCAATTGATTAAAGCAAGCTTTTTTTTATTTGGGTATATGGGCTGCCTCCCCCTAAGGCAGGCTTCAAGAGGTCAGCATTGGCTGTGAGGAAGACAAGGCTTTTATAGCTCAGGGATAGGGAGTTTCCAAATGAAGGATTTCTCAGGCAAAATAGACAGAGTTACAGGAGCTGAATATAAGCATAGCAATTATTCCTAACAACCTCCTGGCATGGTTGCAGGGTGGGCAGATCAAGGTTGCCATAGGGGGGGGTCATATAAACTTTAAAAACAAAGGTAAAGTTGCAGGATGGTTATAAATCACCTTTTGAAACAAAGACATGATTGCCATTCCTCGAATGTGCAGTACAGACAACTTGTAGTTCAGGTGACAGGGGGCACATAGCCCAGTCCTTGGAAAACAGGTTTAATCATAACAGGAGTGAACCTAGTTCCTCTTTACTATGAGATGGCCTTTTAAGTCTAAGATGGAGGCAGGCTGGTTCTTTACTACCTGCCTAAGAAAATAACCCTGTTATATACCCCCTCTCCTCTCTGTGTCCATCTCCAGTCTGTCTATCACTCTGGGTCATCACAGGGACAACTTCTCTTGAGGTCTTTAGAAGTAAAACAGAGGTGAAGTCACCAAAGGCCTCATTTCTTCCTGAACTTGTGCAGAACTGGGAATAAATGGTGGCTTCCAGTCTCCAGAATCCTTTTGAGAAGACACAGGACTCTAACCCCAGCCATATACAGCTTCTCCCTGCCCCTTCCCTCTGGCTAGCTTTCACAGAGAGCTTTTGGGTTGCCCTGGGAAGGAGCAGGGCTGGGGAGCTTTGTTTCCTCTATGGGCTCTGTGAAAACACAAAAGAGACCACCTTGCTCCATAGAGCATTCACCTTGAGGACAGTGTCTGGGTGTCAGGCCTCTTAAATGTTCTCTCCGAAATTGGATTGTCATAGATGAATTCCAGCAGCCATGATGGCAGATTACCTTTGAAAGATTTGATTTAGCCAGCAGATGCCACAGAGATAGAAATCTCATCAGAGCAAAAGAAAGGCAGAAAAGCCCACTCTGTGAAGCTGCTGCACGCATTGTGTGGCTTTCGGCTCCTGTTAGCTGGTATTTAATCTGTGTCTGGGGAAAAGGAAGAAAATCAGGGAAACCTGACAGAGGAGGCAGCCTGAGCATCAGTGATGTGGACTTGGGTCCAAGCCTCCCCTAGCACCGCCTGAACAGCCAGGTGACCCAGGGGTAGGGAGGCCTTGGCAGGGGGACATGCAGGCAGAAGATTGTCATGAGTCCAAAGCCAGTCTGGGCTTCAGAGTCTCAAAAAATAAAATAAAATAAAAATAAAAAGCCAAATCGTCCGCTGTCACTCCTCAGCATCTTCTCAGAGGGACTTTTAGAGAATTACAACAGATCATCCAATTAAGCAAATGTCCTGTTTCTAGAAATAGAACTGTAGGGCTGGGGATGTAGTGGAGCTGGTGGAGTGTTTGCCTGGAGTCTTCGTTACTGCTCTGTTGCTGTAAAGAGACCCCAGGACCAAGGCAACTGTAACAGAAAGCATTTAATTGGAGTTTGCTTACAGTTTCAGAGGGTCAGTTCATGATCATCATAGCGGGAAGCATGGCAGCAGGCAGGCAGGCAGGCAGGCAGGCAGGCAGGCATGGTGCTGGAACAGTGGCTGAGAGCTTAATCCCGACTCACAGGCAGCAGGTAGAGAGAGAGAGAGTGTGGGCCTGGCATGAGCTTTTGAAAGCTCACAGCCCACTCTCAGTGACACACCTTCTCCAACAAGACCACACCTCCTAATCCTTTCAGAACAGTTCCACAACTGGGGACCACGCATTCAGGTGTATGAACCTATGGGGACCATTCTCATTCAAGCCCGGGATTCCATCCCTAGCACCCAATAAACTAGGTGTACCACCTGGAATCTCTGTCCTTCAGAGGTGGAGGCAGGAGGAATAAAAGACAAATTTCAGCTTCATAGCAAGTTAAAGGCTAGCCTTGGCTACAGAATCCTGTGTCCAAATTAAAAAAAAAAAGAAGAAGAAAAGAAAAAGAATAGAGACTATGGGGTGTGAGGAGGAAAGAAATGGGGTTGGAGAGACAGGTCAGCAGTTAAAGCAAATACTGACCTTGTAGAGGATGGATCTGAGTTCAGATCCCAGTACAACTGTGGTTTTCATATTTCAGATCATGACTTTAGTATGGGGGGACTTTTTTGTTTTGTTTTAGCTTGAGGATTTATTTGTGTGGCTCATGTTTTGTTTGTTATAGGTTTCATTTTAAGATCTATTTATTTATTTACTTTATGTGCATTGGTGTTTTGCCTGCATGTATGCATCTGTGTGAAGGTGTCGGATTCCCTGGGACTGGAATTACAGACATTTGGATGCTGGGACTTGAACCCGGCTCCTCTGGAAGTGAAGCCAGTTCTCTTAATCACTAAGCCATCTCTCCTGCCCCTGTTGTGGAGTTTTGTTTTGGGGTTGTTTGTGTTGTGGAGTTTTGTTTTGGGGTTGTTTGCTTTGTTTTTGTGTGTGTGGTAGGGGGCAGTGGTACTGAATCGAACCTAAAGCCTCAGATATACTTGACAGGCACTGAATTATATCCTTAGGCCTAAAATTATGACTTTGTATATAATTTGCATATTTTGATTAATCTTAAATCATTAGCTATTTGGAGAAACAATGAAAACCTAGATAACACTCCAACATTCCTCCTCCTTTGTTTTGTTTATTTGTTTGTTCTTTTGGAGAGGGTTTTGTGTGTGTGTGTGTGTGTGTGTGTGTGTGTGTGTGTGTGTAGCCCTGGTTGGCCTGGAACTCACTATGTAGACTGGGCAGGGCTTGAACCCACAGAGATCTGCCTGTCTTTGCCTCCCAAGTGCTGGGATTAAAGGTGTGTGCCACTACGCCTGGCATCTAACATTCCTTCTTACGAACACTCTTAACGCATTTAACTAGCACCTTCTTGTCAGAGGAGACATGAAGCACAAGATAAACATGGCCAGACCTTGGTTCAAATCCCAGCTCCATCATTCACCCACTTGTCTGCGTGACATTGGGCAGGTCCCGAACCTCTGGGTACCACCTGCAACATGGAGGCTCCCATTCCTACCTCACAGGTTTGTGGAAGATAAGAAGTATGTGTGTGAGGTGCCTGGTGCTTCCATAGCCTGGTCACATATTATTTATTATTATTCAAATTGCTTCCATTTTCTGCTGTTATAAATAATGCTTCAGGGAACATCTCTGTGCATAAATCTTCCTCCGCAACCACGATTGTTTCCTTAGGATAGATTCTTAGAAATGGAATTACAAGGCCGAGGCTTCTGCATATATTTAGGTCTCCTGATACATAACCTCAGATTGTTTGGAGACCTTTGCCAGCGTTTGAAAAGCTTGTCCGTGTTTTGATAGAGAGAAGGTAATATCCAATTGTTGTTTTGACTGGATGATTAATGAGACTAAACATTTTCTGAAGTGATTATTAGCGGCTGGTACTTATTATGCCAGAACCGTCTGCTCTGGTCCACCCCCTCATTTTCTACAAGAACACCAGGGCCCCCTAGAAGAGAGGCCGGCTGGCTGCTCACAGTTAGTCTCTTCATTAATTCGTTCATTTAAGCATGCCATGAGGTCAGCACTTCCCCTGGGCCAGGAACCCCACTGAGCCCTGAGAGGTGACAAGACTGACAAGGACTCTTCCCCAGGGAGCCGAAACCTAATGGATAGACAGAAAACAAACAAGTCAATAGACGCAGAAAATAATTCAACACAGGGCCAGGGCTGTCGCTCAGCTAACAGAGAGCTTTCCTAGCAGACATGAAGCCTTGGGTTGGAATTCCAGCACTGCATAAAACCAGGTGTGGTAATCGTACCCAGTGTTACCCTAGCACTGGAGAGGGAGAAGTTCAGGGTCAGGAGCTGGTTGGTGAGCAAGGTTAACCAGGAAAGTTGCTTTGCCATCAAGCTTGGTGGCCTGAGTGTTAGGCCTGGGACCTACATGATAGGAGAGAGTTGACTCCTACAAGTTGTTCCCCAACTTTTACACATGCGCCGTGGCATCTGTGTGCCCATACACTTACACACAAAATAAATAAATAATGCAAAAACTAAATCTCAGGATCATCCTCAGCTATAGAGCAAGTGTAAGGCTATATGAGGACTTGGGCTTAAAAAAAAAAGCTAAATATGGAGAAAGCAGTGTGCATTCCTAGGTGTGTAAACAGGACAATGAATAGGACCTGGATCTGGGAGCCAGCACCAACCCGGGGACTCCCAGCCCCTGTCCTTGTGGAACTTAAAGGAACCAAGCCTAGCACTGGCAGCCACTGCAGGCCTTCCCAGATCAGACCTGAGCTGGATTCCAGGGCAGGGAGGAGGCGACCCAGGAGCAGAGCAGCTTGTTTTTCCACTACCTTCGCTGTGCTAGTCCGGGCTGGCCCAGAAGCAAATGCCAAGTGTGAGAGATCCGGGCGCGCATGTGGTAAAGGAGGCACTTGCCTAGACTGCGGGGAGCAAGCCCTAGGCTGGTTTCTAGAACCATGCAAGAGAGAAACTTCAAAGGAGAAGCGTTGGGATCTGGGAGTGGGGAGGTAGATGTGAACTGGAGCTCTGGGAAGGGCTGCTAGGCCTGACGCACACGCACGTGAGAGCGCGAAGGAAGTGTGGGAGCAAAGGAGTCGTGAGGTCACAGGACCCCATCATCAGAGAGCCCAGGCCTCCCAGGAGTGCCCACCTTAGTGTCTGCTGAGATTGTCCCAGGGAAAGGGTCCAGCCTGTGGACTCAGCGGATGGTGTCATGTGTCAGTACTCAGCAGGGCACACTATTACTACATTTGGGGCTCTTGATCAGGAATGGATATTGGCTACCGACCAGACCCCTGTCAGTCAAAGTTACCCCACTCCAGGGTCATGACCCTGCTGCCAGCCAAAGGTTCTTTCTGTAGCCTTGACAGATAAAAGAGGGAGAAGGCTTGCTCTGTTACAGAACCTCAGGAGGCCCAAGTACGGTTCCCTCAGGGACAGACATTGTCAGGAAGGAGTCACCCTACCCTGAGGGCTTGTTTTAATTCTATCGATGCCCACGCTATGGAGAGCGACTGGTGTCGTGGGTGCCTTCTGATGTGATCCTGCCTTAGGTATCTGCTGTGGGTGAGAGGTGAGTGATGAGAATTCTGAACTTCAGAGTCTCTAAGTCAATGGAGTATAACCCTGCCCTATGCTTTGGGCTGGGTAGTTTTATAAAGAATATACATTGGGAGTGGGTAGCTCAGTTGGCAGAGTCCTTGCCTGGTGTGCAGGAGGCCTGGGTTTGATCCCAGCATTGCATAAACAGCATGGTGATCCATATGTGTCTTCTTAGCCCTTGGGAGGTGGAGGCAGGAGTACCAAATATTCAATGTCACCCTTGGTTACATAGGGAGGTCAAAGGTAGCCTGGGCTCCATGAGTCCCTGTCTCAAGAGAAAAAAAAGAAAGTGCATCTTGGGAATCAGAAGGCCTGGGTTCTAATTCTGGTCATGTACCTCCTTGCTGAATGACTTAGGCAAGTTACTTAATTATGAGTCTTCATTTCTGGGAACTAACAAGACCATATATGGCCATGGCTTCTTCTCATAAACAGCAAGACATGACTAGCTTAGCCACAGGGGTCCGTGGCTCTTACTACCATGGGAAGGTTAGACTTGGGAAGGGCAGAGGAGGGGACAGAGCTGCCTGAATGCACACAACCCTGAACGCGATGCCCTCTTCTCCCTTCTTTCCCCTGTTCAGCTGTCATCCAGTCACTGGAGCTTGTACCTGCCAACCTGGCTGGTCAGGCCACTTCTGCAACGAGTCCTGCCCTGCCGGCTACTATGGCAACGGTTGCCAGCTGCCCTGCACCTGCCAGAATGGCGCTGACTGCCACAGCATCACTGGGGGCTGCACTTGTGCCCCAGGCTTCATGGTGAGTCAGAAGGGGCCTCTCATAGCCTCCCTGGTCCCTAGTGGGCCAGCTCCCATACTTTTGGCAATCTGGATGTGACCCTCTACCTAGGAATAAGGGATAGGACTATGTCTGTGTCACCTCAACGTAGTGTCTGTGTCCGAGAGCCCTTGGAGCTGCTCTCCAAGGCTTGTAACTACAAGGGTAACAGGAGAAGGCATTTGTCTGTCCATGTTCTCGACTCTGCAACTGTCTTCCTCTGCCTTCAGCTCCACCCAGTCCTCCTGTGCAGACAATATTTTCACAGCATCATCACCCCAGCTCACATAGCAGCTTTGTATTCTCCTTTCTACTTATTTATTGATTCTGAAACAAGGCCTTGCTATATAGCCCCAACTGGCCTAGAACTCACTATGTAGACTGAACTGGCCTCAAAATCACAGAGATCTACCTACCTCTGCTTTCGGCATGCTGGGATAACAGGCATGCACTCTCAAGCTGGGCAAGGTTAATTCTGTGTATGGGTTGGGAGTGTTATGTGTATAGGGGGGAGGGGTTGTCCTGAGGATTGAACCTACAGCCCCCCCACAGGAGGCAAGTGCACTCACTGCCACTAAGCTCCAGCCGCACCCCCATTCTTTCTTTTATTCACGTTTCTATATTACTGCTCGGACCTCTTAATTTTCATTTCAGATGGTTGCCTCAGAGCAGGAACTGATAGATGCCCGTTTTCCCCAGCCCTTCCCTTCCTGCAGAATATTAGGATTATTCTATGTTCACAGCCAGTGTTGCAGTGAGCATCTTCTTACATTCAGCTCCCCACCCCGCTGTCCTGTTGAATTATTTCCTTCGGGTGAATTCCCAGGTCAGCGGGCACAATATATTCATGGTTCTTGATGGATGTTGCCAGATCATTTTCCCAAAGGGTTATATAAATCTATGCTGTCGCGGGTTGTATATGCATGCGCCTTGTTCAGAACAGTTTTTGCATGCTTTTTTTTCCAGTCTTGCTAATTATATAGGTAGAGAATGGTTCCTAAATGTTGCTCTCATTTGCATGTCTGATTACTAGGTAGAGCGAACATTTCCCTACGTGTTTGTTCACTGTTTGTATTTCCTCATCAATCATGCTGGTCTTTACAAGGTTTGATTTGGAGGGAAGTTGACACTGGGAATGGGATATGCTCAGCTGGTCTGAAGACCCCCGTACTTAGGCGTCCCTAGGGACAATGACCCATTGTGCTTTGAGAAGTGTTTGTGGAGTTGGAGCCTGTGCCCAGGTCACACGCATCCTGGCTGTCCTACCTACCAATCATGTGACTTGGACCCACTCTCTTGGGTTCTGTTTATCCTCTGTAAAGGGATTCTCACCTTACAAGGTTGCTCACAGGCATGAAGAAGGGATTCCTGGAGCCTTGGTAAATTACAGGTCAGATTCAGCATGTCTGTGGTGTGCCTGAGGCTTCTTTATATATCTGATGAGTTCCCACAGGCTGTGGGTGCTGCTGACCAGTGGTCCTCACAGTGGAGGGAGCAGGTGCATAGCAAGGTTTTCTTCTTTCTTTCTTTCTTTCTTTCTTTCTTTCTTTCTTTCTTTCCTTCCTTCCTTCCTTCTTTCCTTCCTTCCTTTCTTCCTTCCTTCCTTCCTAAAGTCATTTGTTTTTAAGATAGTCTTATGTATTGCAGGTTTTCTGGCTTGCTAGATAGCAGGGATAACCTTGAACTTTGCAGTAGGCTGCTGGAGAGACATTCTGTCCCTGTCCTAGCCCCTGACTGCTAAGGAAGGTCTATGACTTTGGAATGACTTCTCTCAGGTTCCAGGTCCTTCCTATACAAATGTGAACAGACAGGGAGGAAGAACCCACTGATTTTGTTTTTAGATAGAACCTTATGTAGCCGAGGCTGGACTTAAACTATGTTGCTGAAACTGACCTTGAACTCCTAATCTTTCTATCTCCATCCACTTAGTGCTGGAACTACAGGTACACATCACCATTTTATGTAGTGCTGGGGGTTAAACTCAGGGTTTCACGTGTGCTAGGCAAGCACTCTGCCAGCTGAGCTGAGTCCCCAGTCCTGAGGGGCTGATTTCTGAGATGGTTTACTAGGGAAACTTCATGGATGCATTGGCACACCCAATTAGGGACTGGTTGAAAGTCATCATTGTCTGGTAATGTACATTGTCATGGACCTGCTCATACTCTCCCTCCTCTGTTTCCCCACTGCTGCTCGGAAAAGAAAATGGAGGTTCCAGGAGGGCTGAGGAAGGGAGCATTTGTCTGTCCTTGTGCTCGCTGCCCCAGCCAGAGATCCACTGGAAGTTAGACTGCTGCCTCCCATCTAGACGGAAATGACTTCCTGTCTTTGAACTTTGCTGGGCTTGGTGATCAGATCATCAGCATCCTCTCAACACTGGGTCCTGACTACCTGGCGTTCTAAGCTGGTGCACAGGACAGACTGTGAGCAGACTGTCCTGGTGAGACCCCATGAATTCCCACTCCTGCTCAGCCTCATTATGTACCTGGAGAGGCTTTCCTGGGGCCTGTGGTGCTGGACAGGGGCTGCTGGAGGTGATTACAAAGCAGTCATTGTTCTCAATGGCCTGACTCATTCCCAGGAGCACCAGGCTCCAGGGGGGTGAAGCCATTACTCCTGCCTTGCCCCAGTTTCTGAATGATGTGACTTCCTGCAATTAGCCCGCTTGATAATATGGGGGATGAGACCATCAATCAGCAGAGTAGTCTAAGTCCAGTCTCCCCCAGAGCATCCCACTGTCAGTAATAATTAGCGGTGCCTTTGTGTTCGTTGATTTGTGACGACATACCTGCCTGTGTGCTGAAAGATTTCATGGCACAAGGAATTAATAAAGAGCTAATTTTAAAAGCTCATTTCTGGGTGTTGGAGATTTATCCTAAACTTGGCAACATTGGCCAGACTACTTTACCTCAGTTTCCCTACCCATGTAGGATGGGAGGAGTCTATCAGTCTTACCTGCTGCTGTGATTGAGTAGCAGCAGGGTAGTGAGTGCATGCTAGACAAGTGCTCTACCTACTGAGCTACACCCCCAGATCCTTTCCAAGGGCACTTGAGAAGGATGTGAGGGCAACTTTATGAACATTGACCCTGTGAGGGCTGGGAGGGTCTTGGGCTGCAGGTAAACGTGAATGGCATTGATGAGTTAAGATAGAACTTCCCTTGGGAGCTCAGGGACTTGACAGCCTGGTTGTCTCCACTCCATGAGGCCATGGGGACACAGGGCAGGAATAGACATGGGCTGATGCTGATGACTCCTGATGATGGTCCCTTCAATCCTAAGACTCTGATGTTTATGATGCCAAGGACTCGGGGTGTGGTGAGGCTCATCAGGCACCCATCCAGCCATCAAGGACCTTGTCCCATCGTAATGATACTCAGTCTAGTGAGAGCACTCATTGTGTTCTTGCTGCATGCATCATCTGGTTTATGTCTCATGAGAGCCCTACAGACATATATTGCCACTTTCCTCGGCTTGCAAATGAGCTGAAATTTAGGCAGGGAAAGAAACTTGGCCAGGATTAGAAAGCCACTCCATGCTCGAATGGTAATGAGTGTTGATCGACGAGACACTCCACAACAACACAGACCAGAGTTCAAATCCCAGCTTTCTACTACCGCCTTTGCCTATGACAAGTCCTATATCCTGCTTAAGCCTGACTGTCCTCATCTGTGATAAGGGGCTTTGTGGTGAGAGTAGGGTGCTTCCCATATGTGAGTTTCCAGATCAGTGTCTAAAGCACAATAGGTACCTGCTCAGACGCTAAGCAATGAGGGTGGAGAGTAGATGTGGTTTGTCAGGTCCAACACACGTGTGATGCCCAGAGAGTATCAGAGTGAGCTGCACCCAGGCATCCCAGGAGAGACAGATTCATGAGCATATACATTGCTAGCCTATGCTGGTCTATACCAGCACCTGTGGACCATTCTGACTTGTCCCTCAGGAGGTCCTGTGAAATGTCACTGTCATCATGGGGAGAGAAAGAGGTGAGACCATGGGTAGGAGAAAAGAGGGTCATTTTCGTGTTAGCTTAGCCTTGGTAAAAAGATCACCCAGGGCCTCCATTGGTGAGGGACATGAGGCCTTCGTGATGCGGGAAAACAATTATTGGGCTAGAAGGCAAGAACTGAGTTATATTTTGGGTTTTGCTCATGTTTTAGGATCTGTTTCTCTTTTGGAAAAATAGGAATGAAATTCTCAGCCCAAAGGAAGCTCTGGGACATCAGGAGTGCTTCAGATGGGGGTCGAGCAGGATTTCAGCACCTTGGACAGTATCATTCACCTCTGCTGGCTACTCTACCAGATTAAGACAGCTCCAGCCTGGAGGAGGGGCAGGGCAGTAGGGAGAATGCCATGTTAAAGTCCTGGGGTACCTGTAGCCCTGTCCTGGCAGTGTCTCTGACAGGAAGGGGGCCCCTTTCTTTCCCGGTACTCTGGCTAGAGAAATAGCTCAATTGTACACAAGGGGGCAGGCCACGAGTAACCATTCACACTCCTGCAGGCTGGATGCATTTTTTTTTTTTACCCTTCTTTGTGATTCCTCATTGCCACCAAAGGAAATGTTCATCTCTGCTTCTGTCACTCTCCAGTCCCAGTTCATTTGCTGTGTGACCACACGTGACCCTCTTTGCCCCAAACCTGTCTCTTTTCTTTCGTCCTTGCTGCACGCCCATCTTCGTTGCATCTGTGAGCATCCTGTCCGGCTTTCCAGATAACCTCTTCACAAAACTTTCCCTAGGGACTCCTCTCTGTGGGACTCACAGTCAACACCCCTTCTGTGTTCAAAGCCCATGGCTCCCTCTCAGTCTGCCTCCCTGAGAACAAGGGCCTGTCTCCGCTAGCCTCATACCTTCAAAACACCTCCCACTCTGCCTGCCACATCAACAGCTTTCTTGGTGAAGTCCTTTTTTTTTTTTTAAAGCTTTTTACTTTTTAAATTTTATTTATTTATTATGTATACAGTGTTCTGTCTGCAGGCCAGAAGAG